CTGTATAATAAGCTACTTACCCAAATCTGGCTGTGAACTGCAGCTGTTGATTAAAGGGTTATGATAATATACTTAGGGTATCCAATAAAGGCTAACTTGAAGTTAAGTCCAGTGGAGTTTGCAGTTTACATTTTGGGATGAAAGACACGCTAGGGAGAATTTAAATAAGAGGCAAACCATATATTCCAAACAGCAGACAATCAAGTACTTCCCCAACTCTGAACATACATAAATCCCACAAAGCTTGATGCATGAAAAAAGCTAGCACATTAGGGAGGCACCTAGGCCAATATCAGTTTTCCAAGTACAGAGTGCTTTTCTCTCCTCTGTACATACAAGTCCCTATGCTAAATTTAAAGTAGTACAGTTGTACCTCTGCTTACATTTCCCTCTGGATATGTAATCTTTGGGATGCGGATGTGGCAAACCCATAAGTATTTTCCGGTGTTTTGTCCTGTGCGCATGCGCAGAAGCGCTCTACGTGCCGCGCGCATGCACAGAAGCACTAAACTGTGCTGCATGCATGCCCAGAAGCAGTCCTCCAATTGCAAATTCCTCGGGATGCGGCCAGACCTCCGGTACGGATTCTATTTGCAACCAGAGGTACCACTGTAGAGATAATAATGGGGTACTTGCTGCTATAAAGGTAAAAGGTAAAGGACCCCTGGATGGTTAAGTCCAGTCAAAGGCGACTATGGGGTGTGGCACTCATCTCGCTTTCAGGCTGAGGGAACCGGTGTTTGTCCACAGACAGCTTTCCGGGTCATGTGGCCAGCATGACTAAACCGCTTTTGGCACAACGTAACACCGTGACGAAGCGCACAGAAAGGCCATTTACCTTCCCGCCATAGCAGTACCTATTTATCTACTTGCACTGGTATGCTTTTGAACTGCTAGGTTGGCAGAAGCTGGGCTAAAGCAATGGGAGCTCACCCTGTCGTGTGGTTTTGAACCGCTGACCTTCTGATCAGCAAGCCTAAGAGGCTCAGTGGTCTAGACTACAGCGCCACCTGCTCCTGCTGCTGCTATGGTATCTGGCTGTATGCAAAATGCACAGAACTAATGGATAAAAACATAAGAGCCCTGCAGGCGCAAGCCAAAGTTCCATCTAATGCATCATTCTTGCAGTGGGGAACCAGATGTCCTCGGGATGCTTGCAAGCAGGACTTGAGTGCGAAGTATTCTCTCCCCAGTTGTGACTCCCAGCAACGGGCATTCAGAGGCACACTGCCTCCTCCATCCACTGCCTTGATGGCCTACAGTTCTAGTGACTAAGATACTGAAGTAAGACCTGCGGGATAAATCCAACCTCATATAACCAACATGCTTACCTCAATTTAATGCATTAAGGGGTTAAACCCACAGAGTAAGAAATCTTGCCAGGATTGGCTAGTCCACACACCCTCTCACCTTGAGAGGGTTACCAAACTTTCCTCAACAAAACTAATAAATGAAATAGAAATTAAAACAGGATTATTAACTACCGTTAGACCCACAGGCTACATTGTTTGGATATTGTTATCTGTTCTTTGCCAGCAGGTCCTAAGGTGAGCTACCACAATTTAAAATCCAGCAATTAAAAACAATTAAAATTTAATTTACAGGAATAGGGGATTAGAAAAGCATTTCCTCCCTTCTGTTACATAAGCTATTTTGGGGATATGGGCAATTGTAGCCTTCCAGCTTCTCTTGACCTTGTAGCTCCATTTCCCACTGTAGCTGGATCAAATTTTTAAATAATCACTTATTTAAGTAAAGCATTATTCTGCTGCAGTCTGAGTTGGTGGGAAACTGATAATCCGTATGCTTGCCAGCAGGTAGACCAGCCTTCCCAAACCTCGCCCCCATCAGATGTTGCTCATCATTCTTCACCATTGGCTGTGCTAGCTGGGGCTGATAGAGGTTGAAGTTCAAAACATCTGGCAGGCACCTGGTTGTCCTCAACCCCCGGCGTACCTGGTGGCAAGTCCCCACTGGTGTATACAGTCCCAAAAAGTACAGTCCTGAATTGCTTCTGGAATATCCAAGCCAAGGCCCATGACAATAGCTGGTTACAATACCACCAAGTGGTTCAGAGATTTAATCAGGATAAAAAGAAGGGCTTTGAACAAAAAGTGTCAAAATTACAAAGTGAATTAATACAACCTAAAAAGAAAAATGTACAATTTGCTGTTAGAGTGGGAACTGAAGGACGAAGCAACCAAAGAAGTAATGATAAAGTGGGCAAAAGATTTTGGTCATACAATCCAATTGGAAAATTGGGAAAGGTTGTGGAAGGTGGATATCAATTTCACAACCTGTCATACGATAAAAGAGAACACAATGAAAATGTTTTACCGCTGGTACCTCACTCCGGAAAAATTGGCTAAGATTTACAAAAAGCAGTCAAACTTATGCTAGAGATGTAAGAGGGAGGTGGGAACCTTTTATCACACATGGTGGGGATGTAAAATTGTAGGGAAATTTTGGAATGAGGTATATGAGGAGCTGAAAAAATTATTCAAGATTTCATTTGCCAAAAAGCCATACTTTCTATGTTCCCAACCTCTCCTTCTCCACCCCCAGCTTGCCTCGGTATGTATCAGTCACGGCTACACCCCTCACCTGGATCCTCTTTCCCCTCCCCATGGTCCTGCCAGTTCATGACACTGTTTGAAGAAAGCTGGAGTCAACTTTCTGGTGCCTGCTAAAGAACACAGGAAGTTGTCTCATAGTATTAGTCCAACCAGCTCTACGCTGTACCTGAAGTATCTGAAGAAGTGTGCATGCACATGAAAGCTTATACCCAGAACAAACTTAGTTGGTATCCAGAAGGTGCTACTGGACAATTTTTTATTTCAACTGCTCTTTCCACAGTAATTATCTGATTTCTGTTTTAAACTTTTTAACTGTATGGTTTTATATATACTTTTTGTAAACCATTTTTTAATGTATATAAAATATAAGTATATAAATATTGTTATAAATAAAAAAATAGAAGATTTTGGTTGTAACAAAACTGGAACCCAGTATTAATGGACTATTCGACAAAATAGTTAAAGCTCTATTGAATATATGAAAAGAAAGGCGCGCACAATTAAATCCATCCATAACCCACAGATATATTTGGTGGAACATTTTCTGATTTTAAAAAAATTGCAGAGGCATACATTTGCTATTTTGTGAGGTTGTCTTTCTTATTTGCTTTGTGTTGTGTTATGTTCTATAAACAAAATAAGTAAGAGGGTTAAAAAAACAACCAAACACTGTTTGGATCTAATCCTGTATGTAGATATAGGTTAATTACTCTTGCCAAATGGAAATTGTTAATTTCAATGTGACATTGAGGCATATGATGTGAGCATGTCCAGTGATATATATTTTTTGGTCTGTAGTCATTGTCGGCATTCATTTTGTATTGCACAAATGCTTTTCATTTGCAGATGTTCATCTACTTTTAAATTATATTCCTGTGAGGACTAATGGTAGGACAGAGATGGATTTTGCAAGCCCTTATGGCTGCCAAGAGGCTTATACTTCAAGCCTGAAATGACACAGAACACCCACCATCTATTATACAAAGATCCAGGGACTTTACTGTCCTTGCTACGTTTGAACACATTTCTTATAAATGCTAATTTCCTTTGGATATGTATCAGGATATTTCAATAACCTATATTGACTTGCATGTTTAAAATGAGATGGATGTATTGGTCGTCATTGTGTTATTGAGAACTGATGTGTCTTGTTGAAAAAGAAATGGTTAATTGCACAGATGAGAGCATCACATTTCATGTAGAGTTGCCTATAAGGCCGTTGCAACTCTAATCTCTTCGCTAAGTTCTTTACCCCAAACAATTTTTCAAGAATGGGGGAGGGAGATGGTACCAGCTAGTGCCAAGCACAGCTGGAAAAAATACCATGCTTATCAGTTAGTATTTTTCAGCCCGTTATCTCTCTTAGCCATAAACATCACCCAGTTTTATTCTGCTGATAACAATCTGAGTAAAGTTTATATAACATTTTAACTAAAGCTTCCCTTCATTTTGCAGACATTAACACGTTGCTTTTTAATGTAAGTGAAGATTACGTTATATGACATTGTGAAATCTGTGGAGGGATGTCTGGTTTGAGATACAAGACTGTACACTTTTATATGTGAATGTCTACAAGACAGCACACTTGGAAAAGTATGTGAAATACAGAGCAAAGATAGCTGAGCTCCCCCCTGAGGAAAAAAAACAACCCAAAGGCCATCATCATAGGGCAATTCCTGATATAAGACCTTTACTCTGTGTGAGACTTGGAAAATACTGAATTTAGTGGGGAACAGCAGGATCCTAAACCACCCAAATATGGGATCTTATTCTCTGGAACCAATCCCTCTAAGTAAAGCTATCTGGCTTTTATTACTTGAGGGATGTCAGCAGTAAGAAACTGATGTACAGCCAAAGAGACAATGTGTTTGCGCGTTTGTTTTAGAAATGTGAACATACCATATTGGTGTATTAGCATAAGTAAGAGTATATTAGTAAGAGGAAGCAATGTACAGCATTATAACTTGGGGAAATGAGTCCCTCTACTGGCTGGCTAACAACTATACAGGACACTTCATTTTCAGCCATGCTTGATTTAATAGTGATGCAACTCATGCAAAGGAATGCGTATTAGTTCTTTTTCAAAACGATGAACTCAAGCGTAGCCAGCCCTTCCCTTGCACAGAAGCAGGCACACCCTTACTATTTTACACACCTTTTCCTCTTATTGTTTCCAAATGCCTCTTCTCAAGTACATCTCTTCCTTGGTTTTTTGTTAAAGGCAACAATGCGTATGGGACAATGCCAAGGCTACTCCCATCAATTATGTTGCAACAGGACATTCAATCGCAGGTGCTGGATATACAATTTTAGACTAGCTTTTAAGAAAACAACTACCACTGAAATACATGTTTTAATTACTGCTCTGTGAAGGCGGCGCTGGAGCATGCAAATTTCTGAAAATAAAGGGCAAGAATAGTCACGGTCATTTTAAAGCCAAAAATAAAGCTGGACTTTATTTTAAATATATTACTACAACACTTTTCAAAGCAATTCTCAACTTTACAAAGTAAAGCTTCTTAATATTAGCATTACCTGCCCCCCGCCCTATGATTTTATACAAAAGCTCAGAATTTATCTGGCCTGCTATGCTAAAGAATCATTCTGGCACCTTGGAAAAAGTAAAATTCTGAAGACGGTTGGAGTACAGGAAATGTCTCTAGAGTTTACACTTGAGTTGTCCCCTTGCACTGGTACTATAGTCCATGCACTGCTAAAATCTAAACACTGGGGATAAATCCTATACACTAGGTGAAGGGGTTGCCAACCTTGTTTGGGCCTATGGGCAAAAGTACAAAATGGAGAAACTGTGTTGTGTGGGTACCACAACCCTGCATGAATATGCACACTCACTAACACCCTCCCTCCTCGCCAGCAATTATACCTGATGGAATTGTTTTTGCTCCCTACCCCCAAAATCTAATGGTGGTGGCAATTTTCCTGGAGAGAGGAGCTAGGGCTAACCTTCCTTCCCCAGCAATCTCTGGGAAGAGCACACCTCCTTGCAAAAGTTAGGCTTTCATTATCCCATTAGGTTTAGGCTTATTTGCAGCCTAATTTCAGCAGGGGGAGGAATTGAGACAGGACCCTGTGGGTGCTAGGAAGCCCTTCTCTGGCCATATGCGCACCCATGGGTGCCAGATTAGCAACCTAATGTTTCAGGACAATGGCGGAGGTTCACGTGACTAGGCCAAAAGCCCTGTTGGTTATGGCTGAACTAGAAGATCTAGCATAATGGAAGCTCTAATTACGGAAGACCAGAGGACCATTAACCACGTGCCTACAAATATTACATTGGTGGCACTTCTCCATGGTTGCAAACAGGTTGCCTGTACATCTGAAATAGCATCACCAAGTGAATCATCACAGAAAACTGCTAGTAACAGAGCTATGGTTCTATCAGGAGACCTGTATTTTATACTGAAAGCATTTTGGCTGTCAAAGTTCCATCTGTGCAGGTACAAGCTTTAATGTATGAGTCAAGTCAATATTTCTAGACACCACAAGGCTACCTTCCTTACACCTTCCAATGCTTCTTTACAGTTAAACATTTCTTTCTAACAGATGGCAAACGTCAGATATTTTATAGTACGTAAGACTGACACATGCAGCTTAAAGATAAATCCCTGAATGAGTGTTAATCAGAAAATGTAACAAAAAGTCTTATGTCATCTTAAAGAAGACCAACAAATATATTAGAGAAGTTTTTCTGCACCATAGCTTGCTTTCTGCAAACAACCTACACAAGCTTATGCCCTAATTGATTCATAAGTCACTCTTTAATGCACCACAAGACTTTCTGCTGCCCCTGAAAAAGGTATTGTTTCATTACTTACTCCACTTCAGCTGATCAAACACTGACTTCCAAAATAAACCAAGAAATAAATATCTGGAACTGGAAATAAACTTATCAAAATAAGGCTATAAAAAAATTTCCTGTGAAGAATGTTCAGTGTAAAACTCAGCCAAATGTTTACTCTCATATTGACAATAACGGTTCCATGATTTTTGGCCAAACATTTTTACACTAGTTTAATAATTAGGTATTCAAAAGAGGGCATGCCTGTCTTATTTCATTTTTGCATTTGGAATCTATGTAATAATTTCCCCTTTTAAACCACCTTTTAACAATTATTGTGAAAGAGAAAGGAAAAACCACAATTCTGTGAAAAGCTGCAGAATAATAAAGCCAAAGCTAAACATTTTTAAGTACCATAGATTTCAGTTGGTGAGATTTAAGCATATGCTTTTATGCCACCATTTCACACACAATGTTTTCAAAATGGTTAACTGGATCCTGACTTCAACTCTGACATCCTGTGCTCTGCATATCAAAGATGATACTGATCAGGCCAGTATCAACAAGGTTGATATGAAATACAATATGAGGTGGAAAATACAGAAAACAGAAGTTGGCAAATGCAGAAGTTTTGTGGCCAAACTGGACACTGCGAGGGAAACAACAGGGCAGTTTTTCCATCGTAATGCTAACTTTGCAGGGAAGACTTGGCAGGGAGATATGTGCTTGCTGATTCTCCCCAGCAAGTTCTGATCGCATCTAGCCTTGTGTCAGAAAATGTGTTTGGCTGTAGAGAGAGTCTACAGAAATTGTGCAGGAGAAACTGTGGGCTGTTCAGGAGTTATGCATCTGCTCCACCTGCTGGCTGACCTGTCCTTGCAAACACCTGCACCCACCCACTCCATGATTGTATTGACAAACATGAGTTTGAGGCCACTTATTTGCAAAGGTAACATCTAGTTTGGTCCTCAGATTACAGAATGAGTCTCTGGGCCCAAGATGTTTGAAGGAGAAATCCCACCACCACACCCCATATGTTCTCCTTTAAGAGACATAAACAAGGTAATGAAACATTATTTTAAAAAATACTTGTGTGCTGTTTGCACAAGACAGAACACATTTCTAGGAACTTTGGGAAGGACTGAAGCATCAAGCTTTGAAATATCAGAATTCAGCAACATATCTATATCACGTGCCCTAGCACAAAGGGTGCATTTCACATTAAAAGCTATTTTTAAGTATACAGACCAGCTGATAGGAATTGTCCATAACAGAGATGGTGCAATTATAACATTTAATTTGTTTCGTCATCCCTTTGGTAGGGAATGATCTGAATTTCTTTTGCTATTCGCTCTGCTAGTACTTGGCTATTTGCAGCAATTATTCTTCTTGACATCAAATCAAATGGTGCCCCTAGGGATGAAAAAAACAACAACAAACACAACTGATTTACAGTGTTATTTATGAACTAATATTATGAAGCAGAGTTTTAGCTATAATTATCGAAATCCTCTGGATAAGTCATGTGAAAATTCATTAAGGACCACTCCAAAGTAACCTAATAATAATAATAATATACCACCCTTCATCTGAAGATTGCATAGTGGTTTACAGTACAGGCAACCCCTGTCTGCTAGTCATACTAATCTGGTGTGTTTTCCAGGACAAAAGTAGTGGGTTAAATCCTGCAAAAACTTGAGACCCTGACAACCCACTGGATGGAATACACTCAAATTCTAAAGCCCCACCTACTGTTTACTAAACTGACAACCGTTAAAGACATAGAACACAATCAGAATTGCACATCCCAAATGCACATCCCTCAGTTAAGAAAGCAGAAATTAACTGGTCTTGTTACATTCCCAACATATTTTACCTGAGACATCGAGCAGCACCCCGCCCGCTTCCATAATGATAATCCCAGCCCCTGCCATATCCCAGCAGTGAATGCCCATCTCGTAGTAGGCATCTGCTCCTCCTGTTGCCACCAGGCACATGTTTACGGCTGCAGTCCCAACTGCTCTAATCCTAAAACAGAAAAAGTATAGTATCGCAACAAATTCAAACCCTGCAGTTTCCACATAAAAATATTCACAGTAATCACCAGTCATTTGAAATGCAAAAGAAGCAGATGCAAACCAAATCATTTGACCTGGGTCTCTTTCAGTGAAATCAGTGAGATAAGTTAGTCGGGACACAACTTAGGTCTCTGTGAAATAGTGTCTTCTCAAAAGTAAATCCTATTGGGATGAATAGCACTTATTCCCAAGTATGTGAGTTTAGGAAGGCAGCCTCAGTCTGGATTTAACTCAATAGCTGCATATTATTAATAGGAGCACACTGCTGCATCATACCATTCCTCCATTATGTCCTAAATTATATATAACCCCCCACTATGTGTGACCTCTTAAACACTTTAGAATAGCTGACTTTTTGGTTTCTTAATAGTGCCCCCTTGTGGAACTTTTGGCCAGGACATGGTCACGACAAAACACCAGATTAGGCTCACTTAACTGCTACAAACATTGACATTCTCTGCCTTGCCCTCGCCTTCCTGCATCAACTGAAATATGCTGTTATTCACACACAAGCAAACATTTTTAAAGAAAGGATAGCCAACACTACAGTTTTAAAGACTATTTGTTAAAAAAACTAAGTTGTGCCTCATTCTAAACAAGCCTCTTCGATGCCATGTAGATCTCCAGAGTGCCTTCCATCAGCTTCAGCTTGTGGCCCAGCTGTGCCCCTATCAGGACAGGGATAGCCAGACTTCTGTCATCTATGCCAGAGCATAGACCTTTAGGTTAGATTACTGCAGCATGTTCTACGTGGGGCTACCTCTGAAGACAGTTCGGAAACTTCAGCTGATGCAGAATTCAGCAGCCAGGTTGCTTACCGGGGCAAGACCGTTTGAGCATATAACACCAATCCTGGCCTGACTGCGCTGGCTGCCGATCGGTTTCTGGTTCAATTCAAAGCGCTGGTTTTTACCAATAAAGCCTTAAACGGCTGAGGACCACAATACCTCAAGGACCACCTCTTTCCATATGAACCACTGCAGACCCTGCAATCATCATCTGAGGACCTTCTTTGTGTGCCTTGTCTGTGAGATGCCTGGACGGCGGTAACATGGGGATGGACCTTTGTGTGGTGGCTCTCCACTTGTGGAATGTTCTCCTCAGGAAGGCTTGCCTGACACCTTTATTACATTTCTTTAGGCACTAAGCAAAAACTTTCCTCTTCTGCTAGGCCTTTGGCTAATTAAACAATCTAGGGCTTGCCAATCAGAATGTCAGCGGTTCGATTCCCCGCGACGGGGTGAGCTCCCATTGTTCAGTCACAGCTCCTGCCAACCTAGCAGTTCGAAAGCACGTCAAAGTGCAAGTAGATAAATAGGTACCACTCTGGTGGGAAGGTAAACGGCGTTTCCGTGCGCTGCTCTGGTTCGCCAGAAGCGGCTTAGTCATGCTGGCCACATGACCCGCAAGCTATACGCCGGATCCCTCGGCCAATAAAGTGAGATGAGTGCCACAACCCCCGAGTCGTCCGCAACTGGACCTAACGGTCAGGGGTCCCTTTACCTTTACGGCCTTTTAAACTGTTTGTGGGAGGGTTATTGTTTTTTGGTAATGGCATGCATAAACTGCCCTGTGACCTTCGGATGCAGGACAGTAGAGTAATTTAATAAACAAACAACAAGAAGAAGACATACCCATGAATAGGAATGTTCAGTAGTCTTTGCATGTTAGAAAGAACAGTTTTTATAACCTCTGGATCACGGTTGGATCCCAACTCTGACACTAATAGTGCTTTTGTAATATCTGTAGAGAGGTGGGGGGGGGGGAGAGAGGAAAGGTAGACAAGTCTGACCGTTACTTTAATTCAGATTTGGTTGTTGTAGCTCAAAGGAAAAAAAGCGAGTATTTAAGAAAAGTACTCTCACAATGTCCCCCCCAGCATATAACTCATTAAACCATTATACAATATCCATACAAATGGTTTTATTGCCTTTTGCTCACAGAGTTCCTGATCTTTTGTACTTTTATCTTACTTTACTGTACACCACTTCAATAGCTTTTGGTTGTGAAGCGGTTTATAAATCTGCAAATAAATAGAAATTTGCATGTAACACACTAGGGGTGTCAGGATTTGGCCTCTGCTTCTTGCACTTACTTGAATGTATACAGTGCCCTTTGGTGAACATATGGTCTCTAATAAGATCAAAAAAATAAGCACAAGACTGATACATGGCCCAACCCTGCTGCCTCAACCTTACTTGAAGGAGCAGATTTCACTATGCACCCAAAGGTTCTCTATGGTCTTCTGAGCTGAAAATTGTATGTTTATTATCCTACAGATAATACGTAAAATGAACAGTGAAGCTAGTATGGAAAAACACTCATCGCATTTTGTTCACATGAATGATCTAGTCTCCAGGATAGCGTTCTCTGGGTGAAATCATGAATTCTATTCTAATACAGTGGTGCCTCGGTTTAAGAACAGTCTGGTTTAAGAACGATTTGGTTTACAAACTCCGCAAAACCGGAAATAGTGTATTGGTTTGAGAACTTTACCTCATTCTAAGAACGGAATCCAAACGGTGGAAGGGCACCGGCGGTGGGAGGCCTCATTAAGGAAAGCGCGCCTCGGTTTAAGAACGGTTTTGGTTTAAGAACGGACTTCCGGAATGGATTCAGTTCGTAAACCGAGGTACCACAGTACATCTAAAATAAATTTAAGTCAGCAATTGGGTCTTTGCAATTCTCAATCCACAGGGTGAAATTCAACATTGTGCTGAGATGACCATTCTGCCAGCACAGGCATTTCTGCTTGCTGGAAATAACTATCTCCCCTCTCCTTCCCGTGAGCACTATCCTGAGGGTTCACTTTACCCTTTACAGTAGGATCTGGGGGAGGCACAGTGAGAGGTGGAGAAGCCCTGTTGTGCTAGTGGAAGTCATTCTGCTGGGGCACCAGGTTAGTTGAATCTGGCCCATCACTTTCCCAATTTTGTATAGTCATACTGCTATATTAATGCAAAAGCCCTACCTTGTTGCTTTGATACTTGGAGCTTTTGCCCATTGCAAAATGCTCCTTTTCCTTTCCTGCCGGTGTACATTTTGTCTTCTACACAGCTGTATACAATTCCAAATTCCATCTGCAACCAAACAAATGAAATATCATAGGGGGGAGGGTTATGCTTTCAAAAAAAAAGTTTGCATTTTGTGTGTAGGCTGCAATGGTAGTATTTTACTTTTTTACTGTATGTTAAAAAGAAATTATAAGTTACCTGTTTCTTTACAACAAAGCCAATTGAAACAGCCACAAAGGGAAACCTTGAAAACCAAAGAGATAAGCATATTGCACTTGTAAGCTCAGAGGCATAATGTTAATGATTGACAGGCAGCATGTGTTCAACTGTAAATTAGAGAACTAAGGCAACATTTTAACTAGCTACTCCTAATCAAATACAAACTGGAAAGCAAAGTCTAAGATGACCATATCACAGCACAGCACAAAGATCTTACTCTGATTCCAGAGGAGGGAAAGCACAGAGGTATATTGCACAAGTCAATCATGCTCACTTCACTATTTTCACAGGGGAGAAACAAACCATAGCTTAATGTGATGTCCAAATCAAAGACTGCAATTTAGTTGACTTAAAAAACCCCCAACTATGATCAATAAGTCAAGAAGAAACATTGCTTAGATATGGTGGTTTGTTTGGAGCAAACCAAACTGTACTCTCTGGCTGATGTAATGCTGAGAATGGGATCATAGTTTGTTTCTTCCCAGTGCTAGTGGGGAAGAGTGAAGTGGGTGTGATCGGTTTGTGATTTAATGTGACACCTAAACACGCCCACCGTGACTCTAAGAGAAAGATGCAAAAAACATACCTGTGAACGAAGTTAGTCGTTCCATCAATAGGGTCAATAATCCAAGTGGGATTATCTGTCAAGGTACTTTTTGCACCAGCAGCAACAGATTCTTCTCCAATAAAACTAAGGGGATATTTAAAAAATATAATGAGCAAACAAACAAACAAACAAACAAACAAATACATCTGTACAACAGGATTTACACCTGTCACATATAGATCTTAAAATGTCACAACTTCAAAAATGATCATTCTCCAACAAATCGTTTATGGAACATCCCATTCTCCATGGTACAGATTCATTTTATGCACAGGAAATAGATAGCCATAAGAAGCCTTGTCGGATTTATTTCAGCTTCCTAGACTAGGCAGGATGTAGTCCTTGCAGCCCACAGTGATGGCTGATGACTCTGGATAGCCCACAAAGAGGACAGGAATGCAACAACCTTCCCCACTACTGCCTCTTGTCCTGGTGTGTCTATAAAACTCCATCTTTCATGTCTTTTTGTGATCTCCTTTTCATGTCACATAAGCCAGAGATCATTACAATATATTGTGGGAGTGAATTGCACAAAGTAGTTATGTGTTGTATGATACAGCGCTTTCTGCTATATATCTGTCATATATGCTTGGTAAGCAAGGAGGTTGCACTGGAGAGCTCCACTATATTGGATCTCCCCATATAACCCAGCAGAACTTGCTAAAGTAGAGAGAGCCCCTTCTGCCACCACTGGTATTTTGCATCCTTCCTTTGCACCTATGTGAGACTTTGAACCTAAAATGAGTCCTAGAACTGGGATGTGTCAGTTAATAGATTTATCCTGTGTATCTCTCCCCTAAGCACTGGCCAAAGAAGAGGGCTAGATTTGTCACAGCAGGTCAGTTGAGAAGTCCTGACCTCTTGGATCAGGCTTGCTCTTCTGTCTTGAGAAACAAGATGCCCATGTGCACATTGCTGTTCTCTGCCAGACTTGCCTCACCTTCACATTGCCTGGCTATTCCCCACATGACAGTGATTTCATCTCTCCCAACAGGAGAACTTCTCATATTGTACAACACTGAAAAAACATGTCAGACCTATAATCCACATTCCAGGTCTATGAAGCTGTCACAACCATACCTAGTTAGATATAATCTGACCTTCCCACTTTTTTAGGAGCTGCAAACTCCATCTCTATAGACAGCAGGCATCCTTTCACCCATTCTACACGCACAACACTTTGAATAAAACGTAATCTTCCCACATAGGCCTAATAGCATGGCGCACCATCTTACAATTAAGACTCTTGCTGACCTGAAGTGACTGAAATCACTGGTATGCTCACCCACAAAAGATCATGGCTTGCCTGCATCCAGGGCAAATGGGCTACTCCAACCTAAGCAGCAACCATAACACCATGCTGACTCTGTGATCCACCTCTTCATATTTGCAAAGCCTGTCATTCATTTCTCTTGGCTTCTACCACACCCTTGTGTCATCCTGCCATTTTGCCATAACTGAAAGAAGCTTCCTTAGTTACTGCCTACAGGTTCCATTATTCTCCCTTTTCCCATGCTTACCTAACTAGAATTGAAGTGTGATAAATGGAGCTTATGTGAGACAAGCACAGCTTAAAATGTAGAAAAAAACTATGTTATTAGTTTGCCAGGTTCCCTGTGCTTATTTTGAGCCATCAGGATCAAAGGTTTCATACCTGTACTTCAGACACATCCTTCCTCTCCCCAGTGATAATAAAAAATTGAGATCTAAAATATTCTGTACCTGTGAGAAGGGTATTTTTCCTTTATTGAAGAAATAAGCATATTTTCTACTTTTTGGTCAGTGACAGTCACTAGATCTGCTGGAGAGCTTTTAATCATGATAGCTATGTCCTTTGTTAGCGCTTCCCGGACTACCTGCAAAGAAAATTATTTGCATGACACTTTTTGAAAACAAAAGTTAATGCACTCAGTCAGCTGCACAAAAACATTCCCTCCCTTGTGGAACAGGCAGAAGCTCAGGGGCTTATGCACCAGAAATGAGGAGAGGTGCCATGCTCTCTCTGCCCCAGCAATGTCACTTAACACATCCAAAGACTACTTAATGGTGTTATGAACGATCCCCACCTAAGTGCTACTATTCCAGCCTTTTCAGAACATATCAGATTCTTTCTGGTACAAAAAAAAGAGAAAAAAAGCCAGAAACCACAAAGGGCCATGGGAAGATTACAAATGCATGACAGTGTCATATGGAAGACTTCTCAAGGTGAGTTGATGGGGAATGGCAATTCCATAGTAAACAGCTCATCTGAAAGCAGCTATCATGCTCAGGCTTGAACACAGCCAATTGTGATCATTGTCGCCTATCCAAAAATGACTAGCAGAAGGGAAGTACAGCATGTTGTAGACTGCAATATTTTCGGACTTCCTTGCAAAGCTGATCATGCTTTTCTAAACCTTCCCTTTGTTTTTATATTTTAAAATGGAGTTGGGCTCCTTATTTGTTCTGCAAATACCCCATCGTTTTATACTGCTGAAGTACTAAACAGAAGTACAAGCAAGACATATATATTTTTCAGAATAATTATGTGCTTACAAAAATTCAAAGCATATTATAATAATAACAACTTATTATTTATACCTCGCCCATCTGGCTGGCTTTCCCCACTCTGGGTGGCTCCCAACAGAATATTAAAAACATGATAAAACATCAAACATTAAAAATTTCCTGAAACATACCTCTCCAGCTTTTCTTGCTAAAATAACTGCATAATCCATGCATTCTTGCCAAGGATCAGCCATCTTTCTCTAGGAAACAGAACATACACCACCAAATTATACTAATCAAAAGAGCAAACAGCACAACACTGAAGATGTGTTAAAATGCTAAATCTGCAGGTTCAAACTATTTCAACATAAACAATACTATTATTTTGTTTCAAAATGCTGATATCAAAGCTGCAACATTGCACAATACTGGGAAATAAACTTCTCTTCAGACCAGAGCAATGCATTATTTTGTAATATGGGCTACCCAGCAACTACACAATTTCCTGTATGTTGCCAACCTGCATAATGTCAGGCAGATGCTGAGCAAATTTGTGCTCCTGCATAAATGTAGCAAGAGACATGCCCTTGCCACCGATGACTAGAACTGGCAGTGACTTGCAGTAGAAGTATTGTGTTCACACAATTGCAGAGATTATAAAAGCTGATAGAGAGTGATGTGTATATGTAAGTGAAACATGGGAAAACTTGCAGTGGGAAGATCACTTATAGCTTATTAGCAATTTCACACTGTAGGCTCCCTTAGCATGTTTCTGCACATATAAAAGTTAATAAACCAACAGAGACCAAAATGTATGAAAAGTTGTTACTCATGATGACCAACAATAGCATCTCTGCAATGCTTTCCAAATCTTTCAGTCTTCCAGACAAACTGTTCCTAATATGCTACAAGGTTGCTGTTAACGTTTAGCTGTTGTGAAAGATCCAGCAAATGTGTTGTGTAGATGTTGCACTTTCCTAGCACTTAAAACCGGAGTTTTGCTTCTAGGGAAATGCGACTTTCTTCATTCAACTAAGCATTCCCATAGCAATACTGAGCATTGTGTGGAAGACAGCCGTGACCATCAAGGGTACCCAATGCATAATAATTTATAATGTAATAAGCAACACAGTTCTAACATAATAAGCAACACATTTCACATCAACCCTGCATTAAATCATTATAGCAATAAAAATAAAACCTCAGTGTTCCCACATAACACCTCTCTCATCAGCTCCAGTCAAATGTGGCCAATAGCCCGGGGTGATGGGGAAGTTAATCCAATAGCATTTGGAAAGCTACACTTTTCATTTATCTGTTATTTCAGTACTATATAAAGAAGCTGCATATTGTTGGGGGGTCTAAATTTCACAAAACATGGATTCCTCTGAGTTTTGCATGCTTTAACAGGAATGCCTGACAAGGAAGGAGAGGAGTTGTATTTAGCTGCCCCCAAACAAACAAACAACCCGATTTTTCAGTTGTTACTCATCCTGGGGCTTAATCTTAGCCACAGCCCAGCCCCGCTATATATTTAGTTGTGGGTGGGTGGGGTGGCGACTCCATGAGTGCTTGATTCTCATCACGAAGTGGGGGCGGAAGGCAGCAGAAATAACTGGGCAGTAAAAGGAAACCATGGCTGCCCGGAACTCATGGAAATGCATTAAAGAGAAGCCCCACCAGGCCCCGGGCTTACCGTCAGCAAATCGAAGCACTGCTCAGATCAAACTCCTCAAACGGAAATCTACAAAGCCGGCGGGCGAAAACCTCCGTGGGAGGAAAATGTTGACCTTTGCACCTCTCTCCGTTATGTGCTTCCTTCCTCGCCTCTTTCTTTCTTAGGCAGCCACCGGTATTTTTTTTTCTTCTAAGGGGCGCGGCTAAAAGCGGAAGGAAGGGACTCGCCGGCATCCCACCGTCGTCCTGGCAACACTGGGGTGCCTCTGGAGAGGCGCAGGGGCGGGTGGCTCTCCCTTCCCAATGGGCGGGCAGGCAGGCAAGCAAGCAAGCCTCCTGGCTTAGGCTGCAGACCCCTTGGGGACTCAGAAGGTTGGCTGCTTGCCCGACTCGCACTTATGAAAAAGGGAAGCTGCTTCTCAAGCAATGGCGACCTTTCCCTTCAGGACCTTGATAGATACACAGTTAGGGTTGGCAAATGCCCCTGAGCATATGCAGAGTGCATTCCAGTCCGACGACGGTTTTTTTAAAAAATAATAATAACTAGAAATAGATGAGAGTGGTAGAAAGACACTATGGTTGTTCTGGCAGCCTTTCTCAACCTGTGGGTTCCCAGATGTTGTTGAACTACAACTCCCATCACCCCTAGCTAGCAAGGCAAGAGCTCAGGGATGATGGGAGTTGCAGTCCAACAACCTCTGGGGACCCGCAGGTTGAGAACAGCTGTTGGAGGTAGCCCGTGTTCAGCTGATGCTGGACTACAACTCCCAACATGCTCCGGGCTCGCTAAGGCTTATGGGAGTTGAGGTTCGGCGGCATTTGGAGGACCAACGGGGAGGGGACGGACACACACACGGAGACAGCGACTTGCGACGGGCGGGTTCCCTGCAAAGGGACCTTCCCGCTTTAATTCCCTTTTGTCTTGCAAGGCTTTGCTGACATGTTTGGGGCGGGGTGGGTTCTTTTTGTGAGGTTTCTGGTATTTATTATTCTCTTTAATGGGAAGGCAGGCAGATATTGGCACACCAAGCTCTAACAGGCTATGTGATGCTTAGCTGGTTCAGTTTTATTCTATCTTTTAAAGTTATTACTGATGGCACGTTTGCAGCTGACTTCAGCAACCGCTTTGTTGTGTTACCCCAGAGCTACATATATGTCGATCGCGATGACCAGGGGAACCTGAGACATTATGGTCGATCGCTGCGCTCCTGGGGGGACGTGAGGGAGATGCTGCCCTGCCGCCTCCGCGGCACTCAGAGCTGGCAGCGGGGTGGAATGGGATGCTGCCTGGGCGGGGGGGGGGGGGGAGAGAGAGAAGTAGGGAAGAATCACGGAGCAAGGAAGGAAGGGAAGGAGTTAACGCACGGGGGGGGGGCCACAGGGAATGAGAATCACGAAGTAAGGAAGGAAGCCAGCCCTTTGGTCCCATCACTGTGCTTGTGCCGGAGTTAATAACAAGCTGGCTCGTGCCATACAAGCCGACGCATCCTATTGGCCCTTGCGCGTTCTGCTGTTTCTTGGGGGCGGGAGCTTATAGAGTACGTCTTTAGACGCCAGGTGGGAGGGAGAGTGGGACAAACACATAGCTGTCAACATTCAGATTTGAAAATAAGGGATCAGATTTGAAAATAAGGGATCAGCATCCTGGAAAATAAGGGATCAGCAGCCTCACCTGTCCTGGGGACAGTCTACGGGATATCTTAACAATCCGGGATAGCAGCGGGAAGCGGCGCTGGAATAAGGAGATTTCCCGCAAAAAAAAGGGAAGGTTGACAGCTATGGACAAACATCAGCTGCAATTGTGTGTGTGGGTGGGTGTAGCTGTTTGTGGCGCCGGTGCGAAAACTTGACTCTTATGGAATTCTCTTTGCCTTTAGCGAGAATCTCGAGATCCGAATGTTCTGCCAGGGACATAACAGCTGTAATTAAAGGATTCCTTTGACAATCAACGATCATTTCAGTATTATAATTCGATTGTCTTGCACAAGCTCTAGTTCAAAAAGGCATCACTGAGGAGCGTGCATTTATGAGTAATTCCTTGGACTACTTTGAAATGTACATAAATCAGAATTTAATAAATTTCTTCATGTAGGTGATACAAAATAACACATGATGAAAGTATAAACAGACTCTGTCTTTTGTTAGGCCTGACAATCACATGCAGAGTGTTTTTCACGACTACTCTATATATGAAGTTGCATTTTCTAGAAACTGGACTTCATTATCAAGATATTCCAAGATCACATTTCCACCATTATTTAGTGGGGATTCTCTGTTGCTTATCCAAGAGGCTAGTGTCTGGTCCAAAGGCAACGCTTCTCCAGATGCCGGGTGGCAGAGTCGTAATTTCTGAAAATCCACAGAAAGGGGGGGGGGGAGATACCCTGTTGTTATTTCACAGCTCTCTAAAGAAATTAAAAATATTTGAACAATAAAAAATGGTTGCTGTAGTTGATTTACCTTAGCTGTGGTTTTGTTGTTATTATTCTTAAGGTTTGCTAAGGAAGCGGCAAAATCTATCACTTTACCAATGCTCCAGTTACTACTAAAGAACATGGGTTTGCTTTTCTCCTTACTCTCTTTAGGTAAAAACACTTGGAAGTAGATTCTCTCTGTCTGCAATAGAAAATGGCATTGATGTGGCTTTAGAAAGGAACATATTCCTCAGAAAGGAACTTTACAAAGAATCAGGGTCAGGTAAACCAGAGAAAAAAGGTAAAACAACAACAACATCTTCTCCAATTGTAAAAAACAACATACACAGAATGTCCCCTCCCCAATGCCACTACCACCAGCTGTTTATGAGGCAGGCAGGCAAAGAAAACATCAGGTCCCTACTCTTGCTCTAGCTAGGATGGTTTCATTTCATTTTTATTAGCTTTAAAAATGTGTTGTAGAAAGGGGGGGTTATTGGGATGTTTTTGTTTTTATTATGTATTTTCTGTTTTTTATATTGTGATTTTATGTTGCGAACCACCCTGAGATCTACAGGTATAGGGGCGGGTTGATAGGGATAATGCTTCTCTAAAACATTTGTTTTTCCATTGTCCAATATGGAAAGACACTTGGGCAGAATGTAACTAACCATCAACAGAACTGTACGGAACAACCTTACATTTACAGAGCAAAATATCCTCTTGAACCCAGCACATGGAACCTCAGAAAAGGACAATACAAATGTACTCTTCGTGCCCTTACCATAGCAAAAAGACTGATACTAATGAACTGGAAAAATAAACTACGATTGGATCAAAGTCTACGATTGGATCAAAAACTTACACAAACTTGCAACATATGAACAACTTGCATATAAACACACTTGCCATGGATAAATTCAATGATATTCGTAATCCATTCTTACAAATACTGTAATAGGTTAAGATCTGGTGAAGTACAATAACAAACTTGTAAAATATACAGTTTTGGGTGTCCCCCCCCCTTTTGTTTTCCCTTCTGCACGGGTTCTGTTTCTCTCTCTCTTTTTGTGTCTCACCATGTTGGCACACGTATGGTTATGTACCTTTTGAACTTTCGATAAAGATTGAAACTAAAAAAAAAGGTATAGGGGTGGGGCGGTTTGCAAATTTAATAAATAAAAATAAAATACAAATATTAGTTGAACGTTATTGAGAGTTTTGAGGACCTCAGTTGACAAGGATACAAATTCACTAAAACTATCCAGCAGCAATCTAGAATCCACTTATCTCACTCTCCCCACAATTCCAGGTGTTTCTATCCTATACCATATTTTACATTTGGACAGAGTTTAATATACAAAGCTGCTGCATGTACAGTCCCTGTGGGAAGAAGATTTTACTAATGGGGCTTCATGGCTCTTTCCTTCAGGTTCTGCAGTCATTTATATTGCTCTACAAGGACAGTGTAGTAGTAGACAACACTCTCCTACACTTGCATTCTATCAAGGGAAGGAGGTACCCCCTGCCCCCACTTTAGAAAACCCTGAACAAACACAATAGCAGAAGTACAGATATCACTTTTGCTTCATTAAATATGGGAGTAACTACAAACAGGTATGGTGTTTGGAGACAAATGAACGTGACTTACCTGCACCAAGGACTTATCCCCAGATGCGTGCATTTTCAGTTTCATTAGGGCCACCTTTGCTGCTGTTTCGCTGTTCTTTGCTCCTCTGCCTCTTTTACTCACTGTGGCTTCTTTCTTAGAATCTGCGATTTATGCATGGACTCATTTTAGTAGCTATCACCAGTCCCTCTCATTTTGCTAAAAATGAAATATGCACCAGCATGAATGTTAAAGCTTCTTCAGAACGGGTGCACTGGAACAATGTGCAGCCTTCTCTTGCTTGTGTACATAGGATGGAACCTTTTCTCCGACCTCTGAGTACTATATGCTTGCATGTGTCACTGAGAATGGGCCACACCAATATACAGAACTGAAGATGTTCAGGGGAGCTCAGATATGAAGGAACCAACTTGATCCCACAGGCCTGTCTCAGGGATGGTTTCACGCAATAAAAAAATTACTGCTCAATTACAGTTGAGAACTTGTGGGAATGAAAGTGGTTCCAATCCTTCATTATATCTTGCTAGCACAGAACGACTTATTCCTGCATAGGATTTCCACTTAACTCTCATAGGATGTAGACCCAGACGTAGCTCAAGAACACGGAAAAATAGGACAAGTCAATTACTTTTAGGAATTGTAGCAAGGAGATGGAAGTTGCAGGACCCAGCCTTACTTTCAGGACGCAATATGAAAAACTTAGCCTCTCTTATTCTCTTTCTGTATCAGAAACCTTATTAAGGGCACAATCCTATGGCCCCTGAAAAGACATCCTAGGGACCTCGGCCATGGAGAGGGAGGTCCGTGAGCAAAGGAAGCCTGCCCTAAGAAGTCTTACCACCGTGGGTGTAGAAAGCTGTGCTGTCAGTGCTCCAATAGCAATAAAGGTAAAATGGGGCGTTCCAGGGGTGCTTTATCTACTGGCTCCAATGCTACCCTGTTTCTTCAATATGTCCCCACAACAGGAAAGGAGGAGTCTACATACAGTCACATACATTCTGCAGCAGAAAACTGTATTTTTAGCAAGTCTTACTGTACCTACCTACAATATCTTTAACAAGCTGCTGGGTAACAGCCATGCGAGGTTTAGGGATTTCCAATTTTTCACATTCATGGTCCAGTTCATGGCGGTGACTGAAAATAATAGATGAAGAAACTCTCAGTAGTTAGACCATAAGTTAATGAAAAACAAGGAGTGAGGTTG